CTTGCCCCCAGAGACAGCTTCCTTCAGTCACACCCAAACTGCTTATAGTTGTTACCACCTAATACATGAGGCCTTTGAAATTATTAATCCATCTAATGGATTAATCCACCGATTAGGCTACAGCTCTCATAATAATTTCATTTCTGAATATTCCTGCATTGTCTATCACATGAGCCTATTGGGAGACACCTCATATTCAAATTATAACATGTATCATAATACATCTTCTCCAAGTAATAATAAAGGAGTGAGCTCTGGCCTCCTGTTGTGGGTTGAGAATAACCTATACTGCAGCAGAAGTCTGCAATAGTTAATAGAGGCAGCTGCCAGATAAAACACAAGTAACTTTTCTGGTAATTAAATGCAAAGTTGACATTTTAATCAGTATGTAGCAGAAACAGGGGCTACTTTTTTTTTTTTTTTTTCAGTGTTACTTCTTTAGTTTCCCTGGATGTTACAAAATATGTCTTTACTGGTAACCAAATTTCATCTCTTAGGATTTTTTGGGAGCAGGAGATATAAAAGCGCTGTGGTTTGTTTGGGATCCTTTACTTTTATCCCCTTCCCGATATAAATCTGTCAACACTAAATGTAGAAAGCTGGATAATTTCCATTATAAGGAAAAAGTATTGAAATTCATTTTTATGCTGTATATATTTATTCTCAGAACTAATTATGGCTTTATGTCTTGATCAAGAGCAGATGAAAATATTGAATCTGTTTTGTTGTAATTTGAGACTTGTGAATTTAAAACATCTTTTATTTCCTTGGAGCCTACAATCAAAGCATAACCTTTTAATTAGCTTTGGAAATTGTATAAACAAATCATGGTCGTTTTAAAAAAAATGTGAACACCAGACACTCAAATAAAATTTCCATGAATAACAATAGTCCATTGGGGAGGGTAGGACATGAACTACCATTTAGACTTTCCTAAATCTCAGACTGTTTTAGTCCATTTTATTTCCAGTTATAATAATAGCTAAGAATTTAAGAGAACTAATATAGCAAAAGACAACCTGTCCTCTGCCAATCCTACATATAATATTAAGCCTCAGTAGAAGCATGCTGATTTAGAATCCTTGTCCACTCTCCTAGCTCAATTATCAAAGGAAATTTTCCCTGTAATACTTTTCAGGGGCATGTGGGAAATGTAGCTTCAGGAAAAGATCCCCTTGAGTTTAGGTAACCATTTTGTGGTTAAAACTGCTTTAGAATGATTGATTTAGGAATTGTTTCAAAGAATCTAGGGATGAGGTTTTTAGATGAAAGAATATTAGCTAGTTGTGTGTCATCTGTTGAGTAATAACCATTGAAGCCTGGGTTCATTATGCTATTGTCTATTTTTGTGTTTGAAATTTTTCATAATAAAATTTCTTGGTAACTGGCCATCTGGAGAGGAGGTGTTTGCTTAAGAAGTTAGTAAGTAGTCAAGTTTTAAGAAGCATCTTGAATCCTGAAAAACAGTAAATTGATCACCTTTTAGGGGAGAGGCTGTTGCATTTGGTCAAAAGATAACTTGCTAAGACATTAAGGGATTTGTGGGGATCCTGTAAGATAGGAAATAGGTTCTTTAAAACTCTGTAATTTTGAAGAATATTCACTAGCTATGTGTAAAACTTTCTTTTTCCTCCCTCTGGTACCCAGAACTGAACTACTTCCCCAGCCCTGTTTTTTTGGGGGGAGGGGGGTTGTTGTTATCTTTGTTATTTTGTTTTGTTTTGAGACAAGGTCTCACTAAGTTGCTTAAAAACTACTTTTAATAACACATGATAGCTCCCCCTTCCACGGATTCCGCCTTTTGGGTCCCCTTCTTCTTCTTCGGGGAGAAGTTTTTTTCTGCTGTCCTTTAATAAAGCTTCTACTTTCCACTCTAAAAAAAAAAATAACACATGATATTTTTTATAGCTGAAACTAATTGAGGTGGGTGAACATTTCAGGTTTTACTATTTCAGTAATTGTTTTCCTAATAAATCACTACCACTTTTGAGTTTACTTTTTTCTTTACAAATGTCAGAGTGGATCTTCAAAACCGGAAAGTCCCTGACTATTGAACCCTTGTTCTTCCCTGGTAGGTGGTTCTTGCCCCTGAATAGACCTTTTGTGAAAGGTGCATTTCTATAATATTAAGTTGAATATTCATATTGATGGAATCAGTTCTTATGAATTCAAACCTGCCAGTGAATAAAATGTTAAGCTCTATTCTTGCCAAATATTATTGGTTATTAGGATTAATTTATTAGTGTTATATGAATGGTCAATCTCCTTACACAATTAGCAAATCTTTCTTGTAGATGTTACTATATATAAAATACAGGTTATTTCAAATTGTTTGCAGAATTTTAGGAAAAAATTCTACCCTAGTACTAGAGTACTAAAGCATTAAGATGTAATCCTTGCTCTGATGTATCAGCCACTTCAAAGTGAAATTTTTTCCTTAATAAGAATTCATTTAATATTCGGTTGCTTTGCTTGCTTTAGTAGTTGAACTTGTAAAAAAAAAAAAAATTCCATTCATATAGCTCTGCTGAAATAACCTCAAGTATCCAAGAAGTTTTCCTCTTCCTGATTTTTTCAAAACATGGCATGGATTTGGCTTTTGTTACTTAGTTCTTTTTCTTTACTCACTGCGTATTTTTTTCCAACATTATTATGGAAAAAAATTTAGACATCCAGAAAAGTTGGAAGACTTTTGCAGTAAACATACATATATCTACCACCTACATTCTACAATTAACATTTTACTATTCTTTTTTTATATATCCATAAATTCTTATTCTTGAATTTTAAAATTGCAGACTATGTACATTTCACTTCTAAATTTTTCATGATGCATATTGTTAACTACAGTTTGGTGTTTATTAAAGACTTTTTTTTTTTGCACAAATCTTCAGTGTTGAATGCATGAGTTGTGACAAAGCATACACCTATGAGTATAAGTCCTTACCAAGATAACATCATCATCCCCCACATCCCTTCATGGCTCCTTTCCATTTACTTCCTGCTTCTACACCCTAACCCAAGGAACCACTATTTTTTTTTTCTCATTTTCCCCAGAATAGATTTCTGCTTTTTTAAAATTTATAAATAATGTGCTCTTTTGGATAAGGATTCTTTCAGCACAGCGCATGTGCGGTTCATCCATGTACATGCCAATAGTATGTTTTTTTTTTTCGTTACTTAGTATGGATATGCCTGTAGTTTGCTTATCCTTTATTCTATTGAGGGACCCAGAGTTTTGATATAAACAAAGCTGCTATGAACCTTTCTTTGTGCCGTACTACGGATTGAACTCAGTAGTGCTTTACCACTAAGATAGACCTCTACTCCCACCCAACCCCCTTTTTTGAGACCGATCTTGCTAAATTGTCTAGGCTGGACACAAATTTGGAATCCTCCTGCCTCAGCCTCCCCAGTTGTTTGGATTGCAGGCATGTGCCACCATACCTGGCCTATGAACATTTTTTCTAGAATTTTTTTTCTTTTCATTCTTCTTGGAATTATTTCAGTCATTCTAGTGGGTTTATAGTAAATGTTATCACAGTGTGGTTTTAATTTGCATTTCTCTGCTTATATTTTTTAATACCAAGCATTTGTTTCATGTACTTCTTTATTATATATATTCCTTTTTGGGGTATGTTCAGATCAATTGCATTATTGCATTTTTGGAGTGCTTTTGTACATACTGAAGCTAAAACTACACAAAATTATTGTACAAAATTGTTTTTGACACATGCTGGTTGCAAATCTTTGTCAGATATACACCTACATTTAAAATTGTCCTTAACTACTATGTAAATATTATTCACTTATTTATACTTAAAGTAATTATGCCAGGATCAGCAGGTGAGTTATTTATCTGAAAGTGAACTCTTTTGATATGCTAACCGGGTCTCTGGTAAGGTAAAGGTTTTGTTTTGTTGTTTTGTGGTGCTGGTGATTAAACCCTGGGCCATGTGCTTCCTATGCAAGCACTCTACCAATTGAGCTATAATATCCCCAGCCTTCTGGTAAGGTAAAAATTTAATTAGTAAAATATAAGACACTAAAATTCAGGAATGTGAATTAATTGGGGGAAAGGATTGTAAATGTTGCTCTTATACCATATTACATTGAACACTGTTTGGATGCATGTTGAAAGACATGCTTTTTGTAAAACTCAATATAGGAGCTGTGTCTACAATTAAAAGTGAAACATTTTGGCATGTTTGTTAATTCTAGTTTCATTTAATAACCTGTAAGGCATGTAAGTTTTAAGTTTTTTTTTTTTTTTTTTTTAAGTTAATGGGGAAAATTTGAGACGCAATACCAATACTTTAGGATTTCGGTCTTGGTGTTTGTATGAAATTCTGAGGCCTTGATTTAAATCTTCATTGTATTGTGATTTCCTTTTAGGTGTATTGCACTAAGTGAAACTTGTCAAATAAATCTTCCTTTTAAAAACTGAAAAATAAATAAATAAAGTCTATTACAAAAAAATCTCAAGTAATGGCAGCTAATAATTGAAGTGTTGCTCACATCTACTCAGTTTACATTAGTTTAATCATGACCAGATTAACTTTGGTTTATGTTTTCTGATTTGTAGATTTGACCTCTTTCATACAATGTGTTAAGTCAATAAAGAAAAATTCCAGGATCAGGCCTGTAATATTGCCTAATGTCACTCTCCATAGCTTTAAGTTTTTTTTTTTTTTTTTTTTTGTGTGTGTGTGTGGTGCTGGGAATAAGCTTACACATGCCAGGCAAGTGCTCTCTCATGGAATTACAACCTCAGCCCTTAAGTTATAGCTTTATAGCTGTATGGGTCCTTTAACTTAATTGTCTCATAGTTCTTTCATAGTTCTTTGTGAATATTTAAGTTGTTGTTTAATAGTCATGTCTTTAATGGGGAAATATAAAAATTAGAGTGATAACATTTGTTCAGTCATACACTTTACAAAATATTTTAGACTAGAATTTTCCCATTAGTGTTTTTGCTGGTTAAATTACAGTGGGAAGTCCAGTGTTGTTCATAAATGTTTATTAATAGCCATAAATGATTACATTGGAAAAGAGAAGAACAAAACACCTTAAATCTAAGTAGCCATACATTTGGGGGGAGTAAATGCTTTATTTTTGTTTATACTGAAGCTAAAAATACACAAAATTATTATACAAGATTGTTTTTGACACAGTTGACACTAACTTTGCACTTCTTACAGAAAGTATTTAAATAAAAGTAATAGTTACTCAAAGAAGTTTTAGTTTTTAAAATAGTCTGCAAAGTCAAAATGCCATTTGCACAAACACATTTTGGAAATTTACCTTTTTATGAATTAAGCTCAGGAGATTCCATTTTAACCTTAAATTTGACACAAACATTTTCAGTATGGTTGGTTATGTGTGATGGGTTACCAGCTAGACTGAGAAAGTGAATTAAGCATAGCCTGTCTTTTCTAGCATTTCTTTTCCTGGTATCAACTAATCCTGTAGCATTGAAGTGTATTCACTGTTTCGGCTAGGAAGAAACTCTCCATCTTCAATTTGAACTTCAATTTTGAGAAATCTTATAGAAATAGAATCATGTGAAGAGTTCAGATGTTGCTGTCTTCTTGAATACTCTCTCCAGTGTGCCGCAGTCTGGCTGGGCACAATCAGGAGCCACTTGTCAAAAGAAACTAACTTTATTTTTAGAACCACACACGCCAAACAAAACAGCCTCTCAGGAAAAACCCTCAGAGCCTCAACTGCCACCACCGGCTTTCCACAAGCCTCTCTCTCCCACACAAGCTTCTCTCCACCTCCCACAATCCTCCTGCTCTTGAGGCCCATTGGCTGGGTCACGTGGGCAGAGCCAAAAAAGTCCCCCAATGAGCAGCTCCGTGGTCTGAAAGGGCAGGGAAACAGCCCAATGAGCATCACCGCAGAGGAGCCAATCAGCTAGATGTTGCTTGGGCCGAGGAGCCAATCATCAGCCTGCAGCTGGAAGTTTGCTGGCAGCTGGAAGTTTGCTGGGGCCCCTTCAGCTGTGGCTCTCAACATCAGTGTACATTCTTATATTAGAAGAAATGAATACAAATTTATATATTTTCCCTTGAGAAGGATGGATGTATATATCCTCAACTGAATTGTCCCGGAGAAGGCCCATATCTTTACAGGATTTCCTTTAACATTAAGTAAACCACAGACTAATGTGTTAAGAAGACCTCTTCTTATGAACTCAAAACATTCATGTTTAATGCCACTGGTTCCACTGATTCCAGTGATTCTGTACACTTGAAAATTCTGACTGCTTCTCCTGTCCAAATATACCAAGTAGGGTTATCACTGTGCTTTTTGGACTACAGGCTTCATTGTCTTGGTTACTGAAACAGATTGTTTAATACATATTGTAAGAGGAAGCCCTATAAAGTGTGACCATGAAGTGGTAAAAGTGTGTTTTAAATAATAGGAATAGATCTTGTACAGGAAACATCTAGCCTGAGTATGTGATGTTTAAATGACCTAACTACTGCCATCCTCCCATTGAAGCTGCCTCCTACTCTTTCTGTTACCATGGTGTCTTGAGTCCACAACCCTCACCTCTGTTTTTCTATGGAGGATAAAGGTTTTTTTTTTTTTTTTTTTACTGTTCCCTCTTTCTGCTAAGGGCTTAGTTGTCAATCTCTACATTTTAAAAACGTCATTTCTTGTAGATAAATAAGATTTGGAGAGCTAATTCTCAGTTCGTTCACAACATAAGTCACTGGAATTCCCAATGTATTTCCTATTTAAACACAATTGTTTTAAGGGTTACATCATTGTGATTCCAAATCTGGAAGTTCTGAATCTGAATATTGTTGCTCTTTAAAGTCTCTTTGAGGAGAGACTGTATGCTAATTTCAGTATGGCTGCCACTGCTCCACACACCTTTTGAGACTAGAGTCTAGATTTCGAAGGGGAGTAAGGAATTTTTAGGGGATAATGCAGATATTGTCTATCTTGACTTTGAGTAATGGTTCCAGGGGAATATACAATTGTGAAAATTCACCAAGGTGCCAATTGTATACTACCACTTAAAGTATTTTTTAAACCATAAAAGAACTCAGCTTGATCACTCAGCAGTTTACTAAAATTTATCTAAAATTACATTGTCTTTCTAAATATATACTCTTAAAGGGTCATAATTCCTACTAGTTAATATTCAGAGATTATACTTTGAATTTTGAAAGCCCTCAAAAAGTAGAAGTCCAAAATAGGGTGATAATGGCAGCATCATTAGAATATAGGTACAGCTTCTTAAGGGGACTACTTGGAAGGACAATATTCATTTAAGTGTATATATTCTGACAATTTTATGAAAATGTCATTACTTTATAAACCTACTTTATATGTTTATTCTAAATTTATGAGGATAAAACTTGACACCAGATTTATAATCTAGCATTTCTTCCATATTGCCTTCCCCCAATTTTAGCTTTTATTTCTCTTTCAGAGTTTTAGCAAACCCATTTTATTTTTTTAGATAAGATTTGGAAAAATCAATCCTCCCAATAGTTGGTTAAAATGTACATTATTTATGAAAGCCAATCTGTGATATTGCACAATTCAAGATATAATCCTATGTATCTGTTTTGAATTTATGAATATAGTGCCCCCAGGTGAGAACTTGCTGCCTTCTGAAATTCAACTCAAATATAGCTCAAAATTTGAAAAATGATTTATAGGTTATTCTGAGCTAGTTTTTACATACTGTTGATTTCTGGATTTTGTTAAAGGAGAAAATGGTGATGTTAATATTTTAATCCTGAAACATTTGTTGGGTGGGGGTGCTGGGGATTGAACTCAGAGCCTTGCATAATGCTAGGCAAGTTCTCTAACGCTGAACCACACAACCCATTCCTTAGAAACCACATATTTCAATTGAGCAACTCCATCTCAATTTGGTTATTTGAAGTTTAACATATTTGTGGTTTAGTCCTATGTTTTAAAGTGTTTATCCACACTGGTCCTTACTTAGAAAGATTTTGACACTTCATTATCACCATTTAAGTCCCCCAAGAACCTAGCAAAAATCCAAAGTATCCTTTTTGTCTTGTGTTTCAAGGGTTGTGAAAGACTGGAAATTATCAAGAGGATTTCTAGGTTGTAAGACAGTGGTGATAAATATTTTGGGGATATATTGAGCTTTATGGGAATAGACAAGATAACCAAGCCCAGTTTAGCTACTTGCAAGTAGTTGGCTAATTTAGGTTTAAATAAAAGGGACACTGCCACCTATTCATTCATGTGCCACTGAGGACAATGCTTTGGGGGGTGGGTGCATTCATTTTACAGCTCCTTGGACAAAGGACAATATGTACTGCAAATTGGTAGGATGACCACCAAACTTTAGGCTGTTTTTACTTCTTCAGTTTGTCCTTTTTGGTTCTATAGAGTCACTTTTGAGTTTTAAAGAAGGCTTTACAGAGGGAGGAGAGATACACAGAGGTTGCTTACAATGATCAAAAGCAGTGGGCTATCTTTTGCTTGCTATTAATTTATACTGTAATAGGAAGCCTCTACAGAGCTTTCACAACATGACAAGAAAACAAGCTTTTGACATAAAGGCATTCTGCTTAATTTTGTATTATAATTCTTAATGTGTATAGGTTTCTTAAGTATCACAAACAATGACAGTATATCTTTAGAAAAATAGCAGATCTAATAAATTAACAGGTACGAGACAAATGCACTCTAGAATGACAGAACACAAATATTGAGCTTAAAGATGGTATTGTACTCTAGCTTGCTGCCTGCATCGTTCCTGCAATTAACTCCTCTGTTTAGTAGACATTCCATTTTCTAAATGTAAAAGCACTCAAAAGCCACCAACCTTTTCTGGAACATCAAGTAGCATACTAAGGAAAATCATAGGCCACATTATCAGCATTATGAATACTAATATCTCAAATATGTAGTAAATCTGAAGTATGCAGACTTTATTTGGTCAAAAATGTATATTTTTACAGGTAAGTTCTTTTTTATTCTGACTTAAATGCTTAATTATTTTCCCTTAAAACCAGAAACTGCAAATCCTGAAAACTCTGGATATAACAGTTGTCCTATAGAGGATGTTAGCATGGTAGTTCATTTTAGTACTTCACCATATCTCAGGAAGTGTCTTTCCATTGAAAAGTTATCCCTGCTTCTCCTCCCTTTCAAAATGATTTAGTGATCACCAAAAGGGATGAAAGGTCAAGGCCAGATGCATCAAATTCTGTTAAGGATTCAATGTGTATGGACATACATACACAGACCAGGCTCTCACTTTTGGGAACATCTGAAAAAGCAAAGAAAGCCAAAAACTTCGTCTGTTTGGGAAAGGTGATTGAGAAAGGGTCATTGTCAGTATAGTTGAAATAGAATTTCTGTGTACTAAAGTAAGGCTCAAATAGAATTTCAGGGCACTCAGGTTAGTTGTATACAAACAAAGTGGATATTTGGAGCACTTAAGCCAAAGAAACAATCTAAAATAACCATGGGCAAAGCTGCAGGAGTTGGGAGTGGGTATGAAGAGGTATTTAAATGATTTGAACCATTTAATTAACTTCTTTCTACAAATGATCTGTTAGCACTGTTTTAAAAACTTGATTACCAAAATAATATGTTCAGGTTTTCTTTTGTAGTGTTAAACAGAAAGGAATTTCAGCCTAACTTCAAATACCTTTTTGCCTGATGATTTAACAAATCAAGGTCTGGGCCACTAAAACTGTCAAAACACCACTTTGAATCTTCCCCACAAATGCAGTGTGAATGCCAAACAGTTGTTTTTATATTTTCTGGCTAAGACATTACTTCATATTTTTCTCTAAAATACCTTTTGCATTGTTCAGAGGAGGTTTGCACTACTGTTAGAACTATAAAGTTCTTTTTTAAAAAAGGTATTAAGCCATTAAAAAGATGGAGGTCCTATTTTTTTAAGTTCTTTAGTCAAATTATAGGCAGGTATTTTGGACTTAGCTGAATAATAATAGCCTAAATTAGGTCAAAGTAAAATAAATGATTATGGGAGGCAGAAAGAACTGGAAAGTATTCCATAGTCCCACTTAAGTACAAAGATATTACTTGGGGAATTTACATTCTCTTTAAAATTTGTCATTGAAAAACAGTGATTTTGAATTTAGAATCTTTCCTACATCTTTGTACTTCACTGGAGTTAAAGTTAGGAGTGAAGGATATACTTAAGCACTGGTCACTTTCTAATACAGTTTGTACTGTATAATATATTTACCTTAATATCAAGGAGACTGACTCAAATGAATCCAAGGTTTTTAAAAGTTAAAGCCAGCTATAATGGAAACAAACCACAGAATACTTTTTAAAAATCAATTAGTACATGATTCTTATATATTTTTTTTACTTTGTGGTACGTTCCTTACTTTACATTTAAATATGCCAGTAGGTATCTGTAATGGCAATTTCATTTATACATCTACGATTTTATATATAATACATATTTTTGTAATGTCTTGTTTCTATTATTTAGAATATTTGAGTTTATTAACTAGCTCTGTGCCTTTGAACAAATCCTCTGGACACTTTTCCCCTTTTATAAGGTTTGAATATAATTGCTCTTCTCTAAGGTTCTATTTTAGCTTTTAAGCTTGTAAATGTACTCTCAAGTTGGCTTATACCTTCTCTGGGGTTAGAGGACATACTTAAGTATTTTGATATAAAATACATTTTTTTGGCATTGCTGGGGGTGGAGCTCAGAGCCTTAAACATGGTAGGTAAGCAAGCAGTCTACCACTGGCCATATCCCCAGCCCCAAATATGTTTTTTTTTTTTAGCTGATCCAGAAAGTTAAGAAGTGAATGCAAAACTCTTTCCCCTTCTACTTTCTACAAGTTAGAGTTAATAAAAATGTTGTCACCAAGATGGAAGTTAGGGCAATAGCTGTTTAGCCTAACTCCCATCATAAATGAGGTTTCAAGGTAACTAGTGAAGTCCTAAGCCTGTCACAAGGACAATAAGATTTGGAAAGGCATATACTCCCATGAAATATGACACTCGTTTCAATAGTCAAGGTTGGTTACTGTGATTATATTTATTCTCTCTCTAGAATATAAACTGAGAAAAGGTCATATTTTAGTGCATGACTCCATGTTTGGCTACTCTGTTTTCTGATGATAAAATAACCGCTAGAATGATTATGCCTCGTTTATCAGACATACATATATTTGTGAAAAAGACATGTTTTTCTTTGATGAAATTGGGTTATATATTGTTTTTGGTTTTGTTCTTTAGTGCCATCAGTATGAGTTAGGAATGTAGTCTGGGTTCTGTTGTTATTCAAATTAATTTGACTGGAAAGTTGAAGCTTTGAGGGGGGGCATGCTGGGAATTGACCTCAGGACACTCAACCACTGAGCCACACCCCCAGCCTTATTTTGTATTTTATTCAGAGACAGCGTCTCACTCAGTTGCTTAAGGCCTCACTGTTGTTGAGGCTGGCTTTGAACTTGTGATCCTCCTGCTTCAGCCTCCTGAGCCACTAGGATTTGCAGGTGTGTACCACTGTGCCTCACTAGGAAAGTTGAATCTTTAACTTTAGAAACCTTTCTTTTGGAAATTAACCTGTTTTGTTTTTCTTTTTGAAAGTAGCCTGTTTTAAAACATGTCAGAGCCATTTATGATAATCCTACTTAGTGAAGCAGGGGAGAAGTTAGATTTGAATAAATGACCACTTCAGTTATGATCAAGGAATTATTTTGAGACAACCCTTTGCCAAATGGGTCTTGACACAGCTTGATCTCATTTCCTTGAATCTGAGTTTTACTCTTCAACATCTCCTCTTGCTGCCCTAGCTCCCTAATTTAACTCTTTTCCATGTGAAACAGTTTAACCATCACTCCTAATGCTTGGGAAAGCAATGGAAATCAATTTGAACAACAGAAACAATACTGTTAAAAGCTAGTTTGGAGAAATATTTTCGTTATTTGAAAATTCCTTATTTAATTACTTTAACCAGAAGTTACATACAGGAATTTAGATGGATTCCTATTGGCACTGACATTTAAAAGCATAGGGTGACAACTAACCTGTCTTTTCTAGGCTATGCATTCTTAATTTAATCTCCAGGAGCACTTTTTTGAAGACAGTAGAATTTGGTTCATGTTCACAGGTCCATGGATCTGCTAGGGTTGTTATGTTTTATATCTAACATAAGTTTACACATGCACTTCTGCTGCCCCCAATGAATATTAAAACTACAACCTGAATTAGATTATCTAGATGTGAAATTGTTTTGTTGATTTTTTTCCCAGAAAGTAATTAATTAACATGAAGATGGGTTTTTTTTTTCAGATTTCAATACCTCAGCAAGATGTCATTGTTCTGATAAAAAATATTTTAAATCCAGGCTTTTATCTTAGAAATGCCTTGATAGCAATGATAATTAAAACTATCAACAGTAGATAGGACCCTATAAATATATCAGCTAATTATTTTTTCTTGCCAATGTATGAGATGTAATGATAATTGGTTAGAGTGCAGTAGAAGTTTTTAAAAAACAGTATACATCCTAAATACTAATTTCAATACTATCAAATTTTAAAATGTAGTAAGTTAACTGAAATACACAAACAAAGGAATTTGCCTAACTTATTAGATATGACATATACTATAGGGTAAATATCTCATTGGCACACATTAAGAAACTAACACATCTTTAAGAAACAAAAACTCAACAGCCCCCACAATTGAGAAGTTGTGTTTCAAAACAAAACAAAAAGGCCAGTTATACCTAGAAACCACAAGCTGACAATTCTTTGGAGTCTGTTCAGCCTCCCTTTGATGCTGTTCATTGAACCAGCATGGGCAGCGTGTAGCACTGAAGGGTAACAAAGATAGGCAGGTTGGTTTGCCTTATCTGATAGCTGGTGGGGACTGCTGACCACATCCCTCAGCCCTGTGGGAAGATGGCATGAGATCCTGAGGAAGGTCAGGAATCTGTGCGGCAGCAACAGTAGCAAAGTGGCACCTGTAGCTTCAAGGAAGCAAGGGTAAGAAAACGAAAGCAAAGCAAAAGGGTTAAGCACCCGACTGCACCTCTGCTGATTAGGGGCAATACCCCTTCAGTTGGTTGTGAGATGGACTTAGTGTTAATAGGTATAAAAAGGCAAATAATAGTAATAATAAAACAAGAACAAAAAATGGGGAATGTGGCTATGAAAAGTGAGAATAATAGGAGTTTCACTCTCCTTTCTAGGGGGGCAGTGAGGGAGTCATATTCTATGTCACCTCTGAGAATAAGGAAATTACAAATTTCGTTTTGAGTTCCAGAACAGGTGATAGGGACTTGACTTAGAGCCGAGTTGTAACTTGTTCTTCCTGTCCATCACCCCATTTGTGCATGAGCAAGTCACAGGCCTCTCCCCAAGTTTCAAATACATCCTCGGAGGAGTCTAAAAGTTTAGAATTTGAGGAGCAGATGCTGGATGCACAGTGAAGAGAGCTGGAACAGGCTAGAGGGCATTCACTGCTCTGAGCAGCACCCCGGACTTCACCTAATTCTACCTCACTGAGGTTAATTTCACTTTGAGAACAGGCTTCTGCTTTCCCTTTCTCCATCTGAGAATATCTGATGTCCTGCCACATATAATGCTGCTGGACGATTCCATCAGAAATTGTGTACATTGGCTCTGAACTGGGTTCAGACATATGACCATTAAACTTTGAGAAAAGAAGACCCAGTTTCTTGAGAGAAGGACCCATGAAGGAGCGTTTGCTTGATGACTCAGCTTTTGACTTCCCCTGGGAACCACTGGCTCTTGGCATGGTTCTGATGAGAGGTGGCCCATGGCAGGCCTTTTTCTTGCAGCCTAAATTGAATGAGACGCTCTTGGATTTGGCCCGAGCCCCACCACAGCCATCATTGGTGTCATCCCTCTGAGAGAATTCAGTGCTGCTTGTGGAAAAGCTTCTCCTTGGGTGTTTTCTGTTTCCTAAGAGGTCAAGCACTTCATATCTGAAGCTGGAGATGTCCTGCTTTAATTCCTAGGGAAAGAGGGGAGACATGTATGTCAAAAAGCTTGAACTTTAGTTCAAAATGAGCACATTAAATACCCTTTGGAATATTCTAGGTCTTGCCTAGTAGCAAACCACAAAGTACACATAATACCAGAAAAAAAATTTATATTATTCAAGCCCAAGAAAAACAAATTAGTTTGAAAGATTGTGTAGTGAGTAAAGTTGATTTCAGAACCTCCCCATCAGGTGCACATCAACAGACTAATAGTGTTAACTGACAAGGTATTAGATTAGGGCACTGGCTTTCACAGGTTATTGCATAGAAAAGGACCATTGGAGAAGAAAAAGCTATTATGATTCCAAGGAATGAAATCAGAGAAATGAAATGTCAGGTGATGGGACTGCTGTTTTGAGATAGGGGTCCCTGTCCATTCAAGTCCTCTCCTTAACTGGCTGCTTAGATGTTAGGTTGTTTCTTTAAAAGCCATCTTTGAAAGCTTAAATCTGATCATGTTATCCTGCTGCTTAAAAAGTGTAACTTACCACTGACCTTAGGAAAAAGTAGAAATGCCATTTCATGCCTACAGGATTTTTCAAGTCCTAGTACCTGTCAATCTTTGCAGTCTGATTTCTTCTTCCCCAAGCTTTCTACTGTTCACCCATATGAACATATTCTCTCCTGCCTCTGGGCCATTATCTATGCCATTCTGTCTTGAACACTTCTCAGCTCCCCTTTATCTAGTTCCTCCTGCAACACTCAGCTTAAACATCATTTGCTCTGGAAAAACCTATCCTGACTCCCAAAGTCCAATTGAGTATCCCTCCTCTCTATTTCTACAGTGCCCTGTGTTTACCCTGTCAGAACCCTCAATCTTTTATCACTTTACATTATTATTGTTTGTCACTCCATGAAACTAGGTATGAGTTAGATCTTGCTCACCAGTGTACCCCAGCACTTAGTAGAGTGCTTGGCACATAGTGGGCTCTCAACAGATGACTTATGTCTATGGATTATGATAATAGCCTTTCTGTATGACCTAGGAAAAATTATATAACATATATATGTGTATATAACGTATATATGTTTTAGGATAGGGTTTCTCAACCTTGTCTCTATTGACATGTTGGGCAGGATAATTCTTTGTTGTGGCAGGCTATCTTGTTTATAGTAGGATGTTTAGTAGCAACCTTATCTCTATCCACTAGATGTCAGTATGACAACAAAAAAAAATATCTACAGACTGCAACATGTGCCCTGGGGGACAAAAGAGGATCACTGTTTTAGGCTAGTTCTGATAGGAAAATTTTTGTGCTTAATGGTAGAGTTTCTTAAGGCTTTAGATTTCATAATAGAGTTTTTGACCTTTATATGTATTTGGCAAAGAAGGCCTTTTAAGTCTCCCGGTATTTTGCCACATCATTTGAAGTAATGCAATTGCCACACTAAGAAACACCCAGATTATTAAAAGAATGCATAGAACAGATTTCTTTTGTTCATAAAACTGACTGGTGTGAGAGACATTGTTAAAATCTCTCACACTTATTCTCTTAGAATAAGAACTGTAGCTGGTTTTGCTGTGTTGTAGGCAGGGGAAATTCCACCACCAGAATCTTAAAGACTGGAGATTAAATGATACTTAAGAAATGAGAGATTAAACCACTTCATGATTAAATTACCTTAAAATTTTCTTCTGTTAGCCCCTCATTTGTTTTGGAATTTCTTATCATAGCAGCCACATATCTTTTGACTAAATTCCTGATAACTTCCTGGAATTAAAAAAAAAATGAGGCATTCAGTTTCTTTCTCAGGCTCTCAGAAATAAAATAAGAAACCTACATAGAAAATAGAACATTCTTAGACCATCTTTACAAACAAAATCCTCACAGGACCCAGACATTTTCTGCAAGAAAAAAATGAATTAAGTCTATTGGCTAAATTAATTATTGAATATCTGAATTTGATAGCAGATTGGGCCAGTAAAGTCAAATTCACCTCCAAAGGAAGAATTTCTACTCAAGTGTTAGGTAAACATGTATTTATATTTATACAATAATGAGAGTAGAATAATCCTCGAGTGCTTACAGTCAGTATCTTTTCCCTTCAGGATGGATTAAACTTTAATACTCCTAGTAACACGTACTTTTTTTTTCCCCTCTCTCTCTATAAAGTTGAGAGTCACTAAGTCTGCTACACAGGCAACATATTTTTCTTAGAGCCAGCCAATACTTCTTTACAGGGATGGCCTCTTTTTAGCCTCCAGGGGAATGGCACACACATAGTATGGCTTATATTAGTGATGGTGACAAGGATAGGCCACTTATTGCAATGTATCAGACACTATGCCAACCAACACCCCCCCACACACACCACTAAACATTCACAACACAATTTTTTATAATTATTCCCATTTTACATGAGGAAACTGAGGCTCAGTGACATTAACTGATGCCTCCAAGAACACACGACTAGTGAATGTCAAAATAAGAATTCAATTCTACTTCAAGCTGATTTCAAGGCCTATAGTAATAAATAGCCGATGCTACACTTACTACTTCTGCTACTCTGAGAACTTAAATAACTCATTGAGAAGCCCAGCAACTGATTCTTTTTTTGGTGAGAACTATGAAACATAAAATGAAGGCAATGAATCTTGCCTAAGATTCATTGTGAAAATAATAAGGGCTGGAGGCAGGATTAGTGAGAGAAAGGTTACCTACCATATTCTGTATTTTCTATTTCTCTTAGTTTTGCTTAAAGGGAACAAAGTTAGGGAATTGACTTTCTAGAATAAGACTGAATTTGCTTTAAGCCTGGAAGAACATTTTTCTACTTGGGGTTTCTGTTAATTAGGAAGGCGAGAGAGTGTTCTCTTTCTTGTGATCGGCAATAACTACTCTCAAGGGATATCTCACATATTTGGATGCTTGTTTATCTTCTGGCTGCTGAGATAGAAGTGTTTATATGTTTCTTTCATTAAAATTGTATTGGAATTTAGAAAGACCTAAGTTCCTGACATGCACATAAGCTTTTACTTTATTGAGGTTAGTTTTGTCCTGTACTATCTTCCTTATTTATTATATATTCCCATTACTCTGTGCCTTTTGTTCACATAATGATTTATTTAATGTATTTAATTCTGGCTAGATAAGAGTAGAAAGCTTATGTCCTCAGTGGTATCTCCAGTGTCTAGCTTAATGTCTGATGTATAGTAGGTCTCAGATGTTTGTTGACTGACTGAACAGCCACATATCCTATTTTACTTAATCTCAAGGATAGCTTTCTTTTTTTAATTAATTAATTAATATGTTTGTTCTAATTTGTTATACATGACAGCAGAATGCATTTTGATTAAGTATAGCTTTCTATACTATGGACCTTGCTGATCCAGCTGTTAAAGGGCTTAGAATCCACCCTAAAGAGTGACTTAACCTTTTCCAAGCCTCCTACTCTCATCAAATCCAGTCATAGCCGGAGTGAAATTTGCTTTTAGTTCACAGAACTGGCCAGGAACTATTGTGTTTAGTCCCCATGAAGAAGCATTACCTGATAGTGTTGATTTTGTATCAGGCTGTCAGCATGGCGTTCCTGTAATTGAAAATGGACAGAGAAGTTACATCAACAGTCTCCCAGCACCTAATCCACCCACCCATCTGAATATATTTCTATATATTAGAACTGGAGAATGACATTGCATCACTTGCCTGACAAATCTCCAAAAGATAAGTTGAAGTGATTTTATGATGTTTAAGATGGACAGTATCACACAGGAGGAAAGGGAGAAAATAGTTTTGTTTAAAAAGAAACAGATTTTAAAAGTCTTACTGTGAAGCTTCTCAAGTTGTGTCTTCTTCGTCTACCATCAGGGTCTCTTTTGGGGCAGAAGGTATTGTTGAACCAGTTACCAAGATAGAGAAATGATTTGGGGCTGGGGATGATGTTAAAAGGAGGTGGTAAGGTACCACCTTCATCAAAGTAACTCATCCAGAGCTTTGTCCTTGCAAACTTCCACTCAATATCAGCATGATCCTATGAAAGACAGAAGGTCAAGGTTTTGAGATGGGAAACTGCAAAATGTGCCCACGTCTTATCCTACACATTTTACTTGCTTCTATAAAGGGCAATCTGTCAGTAGCTATATAATTAAAATTGCATATACCTTGTAAATCCAAATTACAGATATTTAGTAATCTAACACTCAAAGATATATCTTACCACAACTGGGAGCAGTGGTGCACACCTACAATGCCAGTGATTTAGGAGGCTGAAGTATCACAAGTTTGAGGTCAGCCTCAGCAACTTAGTGAGACCCTGTCTTAAAAAATGAAAAAGAACTGGGGGTATAGCTCAATAGTAAAGCACCCCTGGCTTCAATCCCCAGCATTATTATTATTATTATTATTATTATTCCTCCTCCTCCTTCTTCTTCTTCTTCTTCTTCTTCTTCTTCTTCTTCTTCTTCTTCTTCTTTTTCTACTACTACTAGTAGAAATTAAGTCCTACATTATCTAGATTATCCTACATTATCTAGATGGGCCTAATATAATAACAGAAGTGAAAGAGGGAGACAAGAGAGTCAGTGTCCAGAGTAATACAATGTAAGAAAGACATAGCCATTACTGGCTTTAAGATGAAAATGGACCATAGTCCAAGGAATGTAGGCAGCCTCTAGAGAGTGAAAAAGACATGAAAATGGGTTCTCTGCTACAGCTTTTGGAAAGTTCAACCAATACCCTGATTTTAGTCCATTGAGACCCATTTCAGACATCTGACACCAAAAACTATGAAGTAATAAATTTGCATTGTTTCAAACCCACCGCATTCATGGGAATTTGTTACAACACTAATAGGGAACTAATAGTTGTGTATAAAATAACAGAGATCATCTTTTTTTGTGGTGCTGGGGATTGAACCCAGGACCTTGTATATATGAGGCAAGCACTCTACCAGCTGAGCTATATCCCCAGCCCAGAGAGATCAGAGATCATCTTTTGAAGGCAGAGAGAATATACTTTATCAGATACTAAATTGGACCCACTGTTTCTTGTTAGTTAAATAAAGGAGGAAAGCAGCATGAGTTAGTTATCATATTTTGGTTGTTCTGACAAAAGAAATTAAATATATCTGCAGAGACAACGACCACCCCCCAACAATTGTTACAGATATTCTGGAGAGAAAGATGGGTTCTGGAATATGGAAACAATATCACCTTTTCAGTTAAAACCTTGCAGTATGAAGATAAAGATAGAAATTTCTTTACTAGCAAATGAGATCTTAAAAAAGGAAAGCAATGTAGCCCAGTGTTGACTTAGAGTGGTTTTTGAGTTAACATTCAGTCTGCCAGAGAGTCTTAGAATTTGCTCCTTGGACTTTTAGATCTTCCATAAAAGTTTTCATTTTGCTCTCCAAGGCAGCAGTGCTTAGACATCATATTAAAGAATTAGCTAGGCTGGGGTTGTGGCTCAGTGGTAGAGTGCTTGCCTAGCACTTGTGAGGCACTGGGTTTGATTCTCAGCACTACATAAAAATAAATAAATTAAATAAAGGTATAAAAAAGAAAGAATTAGCAGAATGAGTTCAAGGGTGGCATTCAGAAGAATAAGACTTTTTAAAACTGATTCCATGTCAACCTAACAAAAGAGGTGAAAGACTTATACAATGAAAACTACAGAACCCTAAAGAGAGAAATAGAAGAAGATCTTAGAAGATGGAAAAATATACCCTATTCATGGATAGGCAGAACCAACATCATCAAAATGGCGATATTACCAAAAGTTCTCTATAGGTTTAATGCAATGCCAATCAAAATCCCAATGGCATTTCTTGTAGAAATAGATAAAGCAATCATGAAATTCATATGGAAAAATAAAAGACCCAGAATAGCAAAAACAACTCTAAGCAGGAAATGTGAATCAGGCGGTATAGCGATACCAGACTTCAAACTATACTACAGAGCAATAGTAACAAAAACAGCATGGTACTGGTACCAAAACAGGCAGGTGGACCAATGGTACAGAATAGAGGACACAGAAACCAATCCACAAAACTACAACTATCTTATATTTGATAAAGGGGCTAAAAGCATGCAATGGAGGAAGGATAGCATCTTCAACAAATGGTTCTGGGAAAACTGGAAATCCATATGCAACAAAATGAAGCTGAACCCCTTTCTCTCGCCATGCACAAAAGTTAATTCAAAATGGATCAAGGAGCTTGATATCAAATCAGAGATACGGCGTCTGATAGAAGAAAAAGTTGGCTACGATCTACATACTGTGGGGTCAGGCTCCAAATTCCTCAATAGGACACCCATAGCACAAGAGTTAATAACTAGAATCAACAAATGGGACTTACTCAAACTAAAAAGATTTTTCTCAGCAAAAGAAACAATAAGAGAGGTAAATAGGGAGCCTACATCCTGGGAACAAATCTTTACTCCTCACACTTCAGATAGAGCCCTAATATCCAGAGTATACAAAGAACTCAAAAAATTAAACAATAAGATAACAAATAACCCAATCAACAAATGGGCCAAGGACCTGAACAGACACTTCTCAGAGGAGGACATACAATCAATCAACAAGTACATGAAAAAATGCTCACCATCTCTAGCAGTCAGAGAAATGCAAATCAAAACCACCCTAAGATACCATCTCACTCCAGTAAGATTGGCAGCCATTATGAAGTCAAACAACAACAAGTGCTGGCGAGGATGTGGGGAAAAGGGTACACTTGTACATTGCTGGTGGGACTGCAAATTGGTGCGGCCAATTTGGAAAGCAGTATGGAGATTTCTTGTAAAGCTGGGAATGGAACCACCATTTGACCCAGCTATTCCCCTTCTTGGTCTATTCCCTAAAGACCTAAAAAGAGCATGCTACAGGGACACTGCTACATCGATGTTCATAGCAGCACAATTCACAATAGCAAGACTGTGGAACCAACCTAGATGCCCTTCAATAGACGAATGGATAAAAAAATGTGGCATTTATACACAATGGAGTATTACTCTGCATTAAAACATGACAAAATCATAGAATTTGCAGGGAAATGGATGGCATTAGAGCAGATTATGCTAAGTGAAGCTAGCCAATCCCTAAAAAACAAATGCCAAATGTCTTCTTTGATATAAGGAGAGCAACTAAGAACAGAATAAGGAGGAAGAGCATGAGAAGAAGATTAACATTAAACAGGGATGAGAGGTGGGAGGGAAAGGGAGAGAGAAGGGAAATTGCATGGTAATGGAAGGAGACCCTCAGGGTTATACAAAATTACATACAAGAGGAAGTGAGGGGAAAGGGAAAAAAAAAACAAGGGGGAGAAATGAATTACAGTAGATGGGGTAGAGAGAGAAGAGGGGAGGGGCGGGGAGGGAAGGGGGGATAGTAGGGGATAGGAAAGGCAGCAGAATACAACAGACACTAGTATGGCAAGATGTAAATCAATGGATGTGTAACCGATGTGATTCTGCAATCTGTACACGGGGTAAAAATGGGAGTTCATAACCCACTTGAATCAAAGTGTGAAATATGATATGTCAAGAACTATGTAATGTTTTGAACAACCAACAATAAAAATTAAAAAAAAACTGATTCCATGGATAAAGTTAATGAAACCAATGTATCTATTAAAATTGTATATAAAATATTGGGTGTTTTTCATTTTTTCTGGGTTTTCATAATATTCTCAAATATTACTCATATAAATGGTTAAGAATCTAGATTAATCCAACTGTTAATAGACAAATTGGAGATACCTCTTTTCTTTTTTTTAGGGCGGGTGAATTGGGGATTGAACTCAGGGGCACTTGACCACTGGCCACATCCCCAGCCCTATTTTGTATTATATTTAGAAACAGGGTCTCACTAAGTTGCTTAGTGCCTCACTTTTGCTGAGGCTGGCTTTGAACTCCTGATCCTCCTGCCTCAGCATCCTGAGCCACTGGGATTATTAAGAGGGACTAAATGGCTTTAGGTCAAATGAACAGTTAGCTTCAAAGTAAAAATAAATCTTTTAGATTGAAATTAGGTATTTAGACCCACTGCTAGATTTTATCATCCAGTAAGGTAATAAAGAAGCACATATATTACCATATCATGAATTAGTATTTTAAAAATATTTTGGTAAATATTTTAGTAAAATTTTATAATTCTATGTATTTTATTTTGATGTAGCTCTGTCATTTTATCTTTTGTCACTTGTGCTTTTGCTATCATGCTCTAAGAAACTATTGCCTAACAAAAGTCCACGAAGATTTACTCCTATATTTCTCCTCTTTAAATGTTTGATATGATATAATTTTATTAAAATAGTGCATACATGCAAACAGATACATATATACATATAGGAAGAAAACAGTAGGATATTAGGGGAGGTTGTCTCTTGGTTGTGACTTGCAATGACTGTTATTTTTTCTTTCATTCATTTCTACATTTTCCAAAATATGCCCAATAACATGTATTCATTTATTTGTATCAGTTTAAAATTATTTTAAAATATAAGTTCCCATTTTGAATTAATTGTTGAAGGATCCTAAATAGTTTCTTAAATTTGCCTGGAACTGATTTGTTTCTGAAACCAGAATTCATCTTCAAAACAATCATTTCTAAATTCTTTGCTGCTGTTCTAGACCATTGATAGACTATCTTTTTGACTTGTCCAAATTAAGTGTGAAGTCGTTACCAAGAAATCCTGTAATCCCAGCAACTCGGGAGGCTGAGGCAGGAGGATCTTGAGTTCAAAGTCAGTCTCAGCAATTTACTAAGGCCCTAAGTAACTCATTGAGACCTTACAACTGAATAAAATATTAGAAGGGCTGGGGATGTGGCTCAGTGGTTAAGTGCCCTTGAGTTCAATCCCCAGTACCAAAAAAAAAAAAAAAAAAAAAAAAAGGAGGGGGAATTTTAAGATGCTAATTGAAACACTTTGAAAAAGCTGAATTGTAACTGATGAATTACAAACAGGGAAAAATGGCACCAGTTGAGGCATGAATGTAGATCAAGGACAGCTGGCGCAGAGACACAATGCTC